AGTTGACTTGTAGCTGACATATATGTATGAAAAGTTTTCTGTCCCACCAAGTTCAGTAGGGCTTATTCAAAAGTATGTGGGTATGGAAGGGTGGGATGTACAGATAAAATGAATTAGAAGCCATTGGGGCACCTACACTTGTCAAAGGAAGGAGATGGTGATGGATATCCTTTAAAATAGTCTGCCAGCACCTACCTGTTTGTTGCACCTGTATAATCTTGGCATGAACGGCGTCTGCTGACTCAATTAGCGTCCGGCTTGTCTGGATCATCTGCAGTGGAGTTGAGAAGGGACAGAGAGAGTCAGAGAAAAAGTGTGATGGGAGGAGTGGTGACAAACCTTCCCACAAAGCTCACCAGCCTCTCTCCTCATATCCCAGGGCCTGGCATAGGATGTCTATTACCATAGGGAAAGGTGAATTTTTGGTCTTTCAAATTGTTGTATTTTAACCTCTCCAATCCCTGACCACTGGATATCTTGAATGGGGCTTCTGTGGATGAAATTAAAAACATCTGGAGTGTGTCCCTGCCATTATCCTATGGTTGTGAAAGCTGCATAATGAAGCAAGTTGAGAGGAAGAAAATCAACTCATTAGAAATGTGGTTCTGGAAGAGAGTTCTATGGATACCACGGGCTGCTAAAATAACCAATAAAAGCATCCAAAAGCAAATCAAGCCTGAGCTCTTTCTAAAAGCCAAAATGACCAAACTGAGGCTAGCGTACTTGGGGCATATAATGAGATGATGTGACTTATTAGAAAAGATAATGCTTGGTACAGTGGGAGACAGTAGGGGGGAAAAAAAGAGGACTGCATAACAGGTGGGCAGTTAGTGACAGGGTGTCTTAGAGGTCTCTCAATCATAGGTTTATCATAAGTTGAAATTGACTTGATAGCAGTTAACAATACTACAGCAAATTTCATGGATTCAGTTGCCCCTCTGCTTTCTTATGTGCTCTGAAATCCCCAGGCAGCGGGAAAACTGTACCTGGACTGTTACTTCAGACTTCAAATAGGGGCCCACATGTCTGAATCCTCATCCACACATAAAACAGCTGTTTACATAGAAAATAACATTTCCTGACATCTTAGCTGTTCTTGACTAGAGGAGGAGGAGGACAACAACAAAAACAATTGGTGATGATGATATATGGAGGAGTATTCAGGCACACATGCCCTTTCCACTCTCAGTCGGAATTGGTATAACCTGATATTTCAGGTGAGAACAAGCTTTCACTGTCACATAAGAAAACACTTAAGTGCATATACCTAGAAATAACAATAAACACATCTTAAAATATATTTAGATGTTAAATATAATTTAGGTAAATGCTTCTTGAACAAACCCTGCATATGAGCTCACAATAATAATAAAAAACAGAGAACATTATAAATGACTGGAGTTAGAGATGGCACTGAAGAGAAGAATAGCTAGAAACCAGAGGTTAAACTTACAGTAGCTGCCAAGTTTAAATCCCCAGAACTTATTGAACTACAACTCTCACAACTACAACTCTCACAACTGTAATCCAACAACACTTGAACACTAAAACTTGCAAGCTACTAAGTTTAAGCCTCAAGACAAAGCATGCCTGCCACTCAAATATTGTATTATGACCAAATATATGTCTTCATCCCTTGCACTCTAAATCATGTTTATATTTGTTTACTTGCTTCACTTCACCTCACACTTTTTGAACATTTCCTTGCAATTCCCAGGATAATGTAACAGAGGCTTTTAAGAATTATTTTCCAGAGAGATGGAGATCTTGTTCCTCAGTTTCCAGCAATAGCCAACTGGATCCTCCCAACTGCAAGCTGGGTAACAGGAGGTGATAGCAGAATTTTGAGTAGAAAAGGATGGTGAAGACCAGAAGAAGAGCTCTCTGGATGTATTGCTACAATATTAACTAAGGGCCTTTGCAGACTGCTAGAAATAGTGCAAATTGAGTCCACTTTAACTGCCCTGGCTCAGTGCTAGGGAATCATGGGAACTGTATTTTTTTCTGAGACACTGAGCCTTCTCTGTCAGCGAGCTCTGGTGCCACAATAAACTACAGTTCCCATGATTCCTTAGCACTGAGCCAGGGCAGTTAAAGTGGACTCAATTTGCACTATTTCTGGCAGTCTGCAAAGGCTCTTTGTGGCTTCTATGTAAACCAGCTTGGAAAAATGTGCCTGTTTTGGGAACTGTGCCTTATGTAAGGTTGCCAGATTAAAAACTAAAGAAAGCTCATGGACTTTTAACAGTTGTATAGAAGAGGAAATTACAGTAGGTGTTGCTTGTCACACACCCAGGTAACAAGCAACACCTGCTAAAATTCCCTTGTGTATATAACAATTAAAGGTAGAGGAGCCTTCTCTAGTTTTCACTCTGGCAACCTGAATTAAAAGTGTTCCATGAACCAAGACTGGGTGGGTGGGTTGCTTTCCTCCTCTACTTCCCTCTCCTACTCAGTCTATGAACTGCCACTGTGAGGACATTTTTTGCCTATCTGCCAGTGTTGGCAAATATTCTGAGAAACTGAATAGAGGCAAATTTCTAGTGCTGGAGTTCAGGTAAAACATTTTAATCTGTACCAGTTCTCTTCTCAAGAGGACCTTCAGCAGAATGCCTTCCCATGTCAATGCCTCCTCCCCAGTGGTCTTATTTGATGGCAGCAGCAGTGTTCTGATCTACAGTGAGTTTTCAATGCTGCCATTTAATTCCCCACAGTGTCCCAAATATTATGGAAAATTGAAATGGTGGCTTCAGAGTTGATCGGGGAGAAACTGCTCAAAGGAGGCTCAAAGCAGGTGCTAGATCGGGGAGAAACTGCTCAAAGGAGGCTCAAGCTGGCTAGAGCTTCTGGGAGCTGAGGTCCAAAACATCTGGAAGACAGAAGTTTGGGAACCATTGTCATATTCTGAGATAGAAAGTGAATTTTCACAGGAAGTGTGAAATCAAGGTTGGGGAAAAGTTTGCCACTCAGATGTTCCTGGATTGCAACTTCTTAGCTATGCTAGCTAGGACTTAAGGGAGTTGCAGTTCAAAACCAGATCTAATTGTATCTCCAGATACCTCCAGGGGGTACTATTCTTCAATTAAGTAACATCTGCACTCCTGCAAGTTGCTTAAGTCACAAATAGTCTTCAAATCACAACCTGTGGGGGTTCACAGGTATGTGGAAAGCAGCTGTCCACCCAGGGCTCAAAGGTTGAGCTGGTCAGACTCTGCATCTCTATGGTGTTGGCCCTATTTGCCTGATAATAGTTACTGTCTCCATGGTTCTTAGGGAGTGTGACACAATGGCCAGGGACTCCCCAACTGAGATTTTTTACCATAGATGTGCTCCTGTGAACTTTGTGTGCTGAGACTGAAACAGAACTAGGTTACCCAAAAGGGGGTGGACTGGTTTTGGAAGCCTCAGTTAGCACTCAATGGCCAAGGCCCGGAGAGAACGGGATAGGAGCGGTATTAGCCACACAATCATAGTTGGTTGCACTCACAGTGTCATAGGCAGCAAGCACTTTTCGCAGGAGCTCTGGAACAGGCCCCTGGGCCTCCATGGATGGGTACTCCTCTCCTAGGTTCAGGGTGACAGCTGGGGGACTCTCCTTTTCACTGGGCTGAAGCCACGTGGCCAGCTTTAAGATGCATTGTTTGATGTTGGCTGCTGGTGTTAGGCCACACAATTCTTTGAAGGAGACCAGAGCATTCTAGAAGAAGAAAGAAAGATGAGGAAAAACATCAACATTCTAGATCTCCACCGAATTCTTTTTCACTCTCAACATTTCTGATCACTCCCTTCTACTATTTGTTATTGTGTGCCTTCAAGTCATTTCTAACATGGCAACCCTATCATGGCGTTTTCTGAGGCTGAGTGTGTGACTCGCTATGTGAGTTTCCATGGCCAAGCAGGAAATTGAACCCTGATCTTCAGAGTAGTAATCCAATGCTCAAACCACTACACCATGCTGGCTCTCCCCTTCTAGGCTCACATTTATCCAGATCCACTAATTTTGGGTTGGCTTTGTGTTTCCTCTCCCTTTTCTTGGAAGGATGGTATTATCTCTGACATCACATTAAGTTTCACAACAATTAGATGAAGACCATCCATCACTATCTCTCCCTGACCTCTAGCTTGGGAGAAGGATTGGAGAACATCAGGCACAGGAAATCTGCAGACTCCTCTTCATTTGCTATTATAAACAAATAGATGCAATGTGGCCTAGTGACAATAGATTAGCTGATGAAAAGACTACTTTGTGCTTGAAACCCTCAAAAAGTTATACTATTTACAGTAGGCAATACTGGGCTAGACAGTCAACTAATCTGACTTGATATAAGGTAGCTTCCTGTGACAACCAACCTGCTTCTTTTCCTTATATCCTCCAGGCGTTAAACATCCAGACTCATTCCACATGCAGGACACATTCCTCATTTGCTGCAGTTCTTTTTCAAGTTTCTCTATAACAGATTCTGAAAACCAGTGCCTTCCAGATGTCTTGAACCAGCTGCAACCAGCACCATCAGAAACTATGCTGGCTGTAGACACTGGAAGCAATAGCATTCACCAGTTCAGAGTGAGCTGCTCTGAAACCTCTGCTTCCATAGAGACATTAAGGATCTCATTTAAAGCCCAACTAGAGCTTGGAAATATGACCTTTTCTGGGTGACAACTCCAATAATCCCCCTGCTAACATCAAAGGGATGTTGTCAAAGGTATTCTGAGAGCATTGGTATGAAGCTCATAGACAGGAGAGGGCCATAAGATTTTAACTGGCTTCCTACAGGCTTCTTAGCTTAGTTTGAGACCCAGGCCATGCCCCATCTCCAAACATTTTCAAACCAAATTCAGGAGCCCCATCTCCCACTACCTGGGTACCTGCATGTTCTCCCGTAGGTCTGTGGCCTCTCGCAGTGGCTGAGTGGCAGTGCGGAACACCTCATCAATGGCCTTGATTCCCATGGCTTTGGTGGATGTGTATTCCCGCATGCGGCGTCCCTTGCGGCCTGAGAGCCCCCGGCGGTGGGCTTTGCCTCCTCCCCGCCGGTTGGTGATGGCCACATGGACAAACAAGGTGGCATTGGGAAGGGGCTCACCAGAGAGGGACTGGAGGGGCACATGGCGGTAGCCCATCTGAAGGCACTCAAAGGGGATGGTGTACTGTGCAATGAACTCATCTCCGATGTAATCGTCATCCAGCACCATGAACCGGAGGATGGCCAGCTCAGGGAGGTTGACTTGGAACTCTAAGGTCTCCTCAAAGACTGGGTTGTCCCCACTTTGCAACACTGTCTTGGTGCGCTTTTCAGCACAGTCGGCAGGAATACCATGCATCTCAGCACAGACATATGGCTCCACCACATCACCTTTGGCCCCAGAGCCCTTGGGTTTGGGCAGATTCTGGCCACTGATGATCTTGAGATGCAACAGTTGGGCTGAGATACCAGGCAAGGTGTCCCTGGTGTTGGCGCTGAAGTACGACACTTCCTCACGCATAATGGCTGGCCGGAGCACATAGCCACAACCCCCATTTTGGCGGAACCAGCCAGCATTCAGGTCCATCATGAGTCCCGGTGTCTGGTAGTTCATGGCCACCATTTGGCAGCCACACTTCCAGAAATCCTGAGGGTTCATGTTGCTGGCATCGATGCGCATGGGGCTGGGGTAAACCCGTGATAGGAAGCGCTTGTTATAAGCCACAAAATCCTCTGGATCTTCATTGGCATAGCGACCAGCTTCCACCTCACTGAAGGAACAAACCTCCCAATAGCACTGGCCCCGTCGAGAGCCCTCAAAGCCCTGGAAAGTCACTGTCTGGCACAAGCTCACCAGATCTGAGAGCTCACGGCACAAGACTCGCCGGCAGCGGGGTTGCTCCTGGTGCTCCTCATTGAGTGGTAGGCCCAGCTCCAAGGTCTCCTCATCGTCCGAGACATCCCCCTCATTCAACTGGCAGCTGGGATGCAGCTTCCGGCTTTTGATGAGAATGTATCCCTTGAGTTTTTCTGGTGAGGGAAGATAGACCTCGTTGGGGTTGGGGGGTGTCAGATACAGCTTGTCCCCAAAGGTCTTCCTCAAATGTTCAGCCATGACCCTCTGCTGGGCTACACAGCAGCGCACAGAGAGGCATAGGATGAGAGGAAATTCTGAGGCCTCAAAAGCATGTTCTGCCACAGCACTCACCACCTTGGAGAAAGCCAGACGGGTTCCAGCACCCACCACTGGCTCTCCAGACGGGCTGTCACATACTACTAATTCCAAGCTACGGCAACCAGCCTTGAGAGCTGCCACATAGCCCCCAATGTCTGAAGTGGAGCCACCCCAAAAGCAGCTGTCCTCTGCCAGACACGCTCCATGTGCAGAGCTAATGAAGTAGTGGGACAATGGCTGGCTCATGTCCTGGCACACTTTGCGGTGCTGTGGGTCAAATATGTCACAGTCCGCAGAAAGGAGGTAGCGAGTGAAGCCATCAACGGCCAAGTAGCCCTTTCCCCGTCCTTCCTTGGATGGCTCGTATTTGCTGATAATTTCCCTACACATCTGCTCTGTCACCCCTTCCATGCCCTGCTCAGCTTCTAGAAAGCTCATCAAGTCTTTCAGGCCCATATATTCCTTGTTGCTGGAAAACTGGACCAAGAGGAAGAAAACCTCTGGCCTGGTGCACAGCTCACAGTAGGCTTCCACAAAGACCTCACAGTTCACCTCCTCCCCAACTCGCTCACTGGCTGCTTTCTGGAGCTCTTTGAACTTCAGCTCAATGGTTGAAGCTTTCATGCCAGGGTTGAGGGCTCGGATAAGCTGCACAGCCCGGGAAATTGGGATTCGGCCTTCCTTTTCCAAGTCCGCAATGTCAAAGACAGAGGAGATCCAGGAAGTGCGGGGGTTCGGGTGTCCAGTCTCAGGAGCCTCCTCCAAGGTGTGTTTCCCATAGGAGGCCAAATACCGCAGACCCATTACCCATGCATTCACCACATCAGCAGAACTGGCTACCAGATCCAAGGATTCATAGTTGTCTCCGTAGATGATGGAGAAGGCACATTCATCTGGGAACTGGTCTGAGAGACCATTGGAGCGCAGCACAGGTGTCTTTTTCCCAACCCGCACCTCTTTTACTGACTTGATCTCAATTTTGGCTTTTTCAGAGTCCTTCTTGGAAGGCTCCCAGTGCATGAAGCGCAAGTCTGGATCCAGTACAAAGAATCGGCTGTACATGCGGGAATTGGAACGCACTTTTTTCATTTCACAGCCCTCAAGCATGAAGGAAATGCAGGCAGCAGTGCTGCTGAGCTTGCGGTTGCTGGGCATGGTGCTGAAGGAGACAGTCTTCTTCTTCTGCTGCAGGGAACGCTGGCGGGACCCATCCTGTAAGAAAGGAAAAAAGAAAGGACAGGGAGACATCAGGGGTTGCATCTGGATTGGCATGGCCTTAAAAACAGAAGGTAAAGGCAGCTGACTAAAGCATGAAGATGGGAAGGGAAAAAAGATTTGTCTCATTCCATATTCCATTCTCTTCCATTGCTTATTGCAATAGTAATACAGCTCACAAGCTAGGATGCTGGATGAAGGATCTAAAGGAAAATTATGAAGCAATACATCTTGAGGCATTTCCCCCCACCCCACCCCCACACACACACACTTTATGTTCTCCTTGTTTCTCCATCTTTTCCTGAGACTTGAAAGACAAACTTCAGGCCGCATTTCTGGAAAAATGATGCAATCTTTCAGAAGACCTACTCTTTCTCTATCTCTCCAGACTAAGGGGGGTTGCAGACTGCCAGAAATAGTGCAAATTGAATCCACTTTTAGGGTTAGCGTTAGGGGTTAGGGAATCATGGGAACTGTATTTTATTGTGGCACCAGAGCTCTCTGACAGAGAAGGCTCAATGTCTCAGAGAAAAAAACAATTCCCATGATTCCCTAGCACTAACCCTAACCCTAAAAGTGGACTCAATTTGCACTATTTCTGGCAGTCTGCAACCCCCCTAAGTTGTGTTTCCTTTTGTTGTGATGGCAAATACCGGTATATAGTGAGTTTTACTGCACTGGTTTTCTACTGCGATTTTTTATTCTAATTATTTTGCAAGCTACTTTGCTGCTGGTGTTTTTTGAAGGCAGAACCTTTGATGAAATGCAGAGCTGTTGTTTTTTAATTTTGTTTCATTCAAGGAAACAACAACCAGAGCTTGGAAATTCAAAGATATAGCCGTGTTAATCTGTAGAATCAGCATATAGAAAGATCTTGTAGTACCTTTGAGACTAACTGAAATAAAGTAGTTGGCAGCTTGAGCTTTTGTAGACTTCAATCTACTTCCTCAGATGTGCATCTGGGGAAGTAGACTGAAGTCTATGAAAGCTCATGCTGCCAACTTCTTTATTTCAGGTGCTACAAGTTCTCTCTACAGAGCTTGGAAATTTTATTGCTCCCCAAATCTCCCAACCTGGACAGCCATGGCTGGATTGGAGGGTTGAACTTTTCTGAGCTCTCACAAAAGACCAACCAATGGAGGAAACAGACCCTCCCTGCAATGACCAGACTTGACCTGCACTCCAAGAGTGTAGGCCAACCTCCAAGGTGCCCTAGCCAGATAAGACTGAACTGGCTGTGGGAACTCAGAGCCCATTCCTGACTGTTAAATATAGTTACATCCGACCATTCTGTTGTTTCCTATTCATTCATCCCCCCATGCTTCCTGATGGTCTCACCAGAAGGTCAAGATGAGAGGGTTTGGGGTGATGGGGAGGGAAAAGGATGGAGAGAAGAATAGTACAAAGGACAAAATAAGGGAAGAGAGGAATGCTGTGAATAGATAAAATGCATTGACTGAAGCTGCAGAGAGAATATGTTTAAAGCTAACCCTATGAGGATGTTCAGGTAAATCCTCTTTGCCTTTCCCCATCCCCCTTCCTGCCAGTTTTGGCCATTTTCTTCCAAACTCTTTGACCATACAAGCATGCAGAAATGAAAGGCTCAT